ATACGATAAAAACCGTGCCCGATCCGTCGGCGTTCGATGGACAAGCGAGTGCCATGTCCTCGAAACCATCGTCATTGAAATCCCCCGCACTTGAGACGACCTCAATGTCACAATCCGCGATGATGGCTGCGCCGTAGGTCCCATCCGGTTTTTTCTTCGGTATCATGTCCAGCTCACCTGACCATGCAGCGTAGAGGTCGTCATCGGCCGCCCCGTATATGACATAGGCATCCCCATCAGCAGCTGCGAGAATGTCATCAATACCGTCACCATCGACATCTCCTGGAAACACCACAGAAGAGAGGGTCTTGTCGCCGTGGAACATGGCACCCGCATGGTTCTCTTCAATGGAACCCAAGGGAGACCTTGCCGGAAAGGGAAGTTTGCCGCTGCCGAGCGAGTCACGCGAGTGGGAAGGAGCCGGAGTTGGCATGCTGGACGGACCCGTGGGCATAGTGGTAGGTACCTTGGCATCAAATTGGGATCCAAAGATGACATATGTGTTTCCTCCGTCCACCTCCCCCGCGTTTGAAAGCATAGCAGAAACAACCAAGTCGTCGACGCCATCGTTATTGAAATCTCCAGCTGCGGCGACATCGTACCCGGCGCAGTCGCCAGCATGCTCACCGTACATCTTGAACCCATCAAAACCGTTCAAATCTGCAAGATCGAAGATGCCCTGTTTCTTGGTCCCCCCTAAAACGCAATAGATAGTCCCAGCCATGTCGCGGCCTTGAGGAGAAGCACTGAAGGACCCGACCAGTACGTCATCCAAGCCATCGCCATCAACATCTCCCGCGCCAGACACCGAGTACCCGGTTATGTCTTGGAATGCGTCGCCTCGGAGTGTAATGTCAGCATGTGCCGTCGGACCGAAATGTTTGCGCCCGAGTATAATGTAAGCAGCGCCACGACGATGCTCAAATGCCGGGGCACCGACGACAATGTCGCCATAGCCATCCCCGTTGAAGTCACCCGCCTTTTTGACATCGCCTCCAAGGTTGTCCCCCTTGTTGGCACCTAGGATGCCAAAACCATCCGTGCCGTCAATTTCATCCAGATAAAAGGTACCATGATACTGAATGCCACCAAAGAGTACAAAGACTGCACCTCCAGTTCCATACTGTGATGCACCAATTGCCACATCGTCATGGCCATCTCCATTAACATCATCAAGAGCTGCGCACTCAATGCCGACGAGTGCTCTCTTTCCCGCGCCGTCTTTGTTTTTGAGGGA